GGTTATAAACAATTGAAAACGAAGAATTTTTTGCAAATAAAGTTTTAAAGAATCAAAGAAATAACAGAACCATATTCCTTTTTCAGTTAACATTTTTGGTAAACTCTAAAATTTTTATTTGCAGCTTAATTAAAAACATATAACATGTGATAAATAATTTTTGTCGATATTTCCGTCAATGAAAAATCTAAATCTAGACGGACAGTCTGAAATTTAAAAAGACATTTGTGATTTGGAACATCCTTTATACTTATTTTAATAGGAGATTTTAACATAGGACGAATGTAAAAATATACAGTTGGCAAAGGGAACGTACAAATTTCATCTCTCGTTCCATCAAACTGTCGTTAGGATGCCTTTATGGTATAACAGTGGTAACGGGCATTTGTCGAGCCGGAGCGCGCAGTTCGTGCATTCGAAACGCGGTGGTCGGCGGCCAAATGGAGAGGAGAGACCGCTTTTGCGATGCGCTCTCAACGGTACAATATCCCGATAGTGCATAACGCGCTGTACATTTTGTTGATTCTACTGTTACACGTATCCCGTATACGCTGTAATATATCGCGTCAAAGTCGCTTTAGAAACGATCGTCTATAAAAGTCCTGCGAAGGAGCAGAGTATCGCTATAAATTCACATGAGCATCGCGCCGACAGGGAAGTAAAGCCGTATCGATATATTTAATGCAATCCAATCGCAGTTGTCACTTATATTTCTTAAGGGATATGGCGTTCATGCAGCGGGATAAAATTTTCCCTCCGTGACACTCCTCTGCACATAGATTTTATGCAAATCCCCACGCGCGGTTTGTTATGCTATCGTTGGTCCGCGAGTGTGGCTATGCGCTATAAACATGGCCATTGTTGTTCTAACCACGACATGTGACTGTTGCCTTTATCATAGCATGGTCATTGTAGCCGCAGCTACTTGATTGTTGTCATTCTCCAACATCAAAGCGTCATCAGCAAACAGCGTGTCGCGACCTGATGCAACTTTTATGCGGATACGATCTGCCTTGAAACTCTCTATCGATCCGACACGCCCCTTCTTCGTCTTCTTCTTTTTTCTTCTTTTTTTAAGAAACTTATCAAGCAAAGAATATTCATTATCTGAATAAAGTAGTTAAAAATAAGCTATTGACATTAGTAAGATGTGTGTGTGTGTGTGTGTGTGTGAAGTATGAGTTCAATAAAATTTATATTTCGCGGTATACATATATATTCTATTTTCTATATTTTAATACTTTAACATCTGCCCGTATTAGAGTAATGAGTAGTCTAATTTCTCATTTAGTCCTGTCAGTCAACATCGCTTCTGCAATCGGCACGATTAATAACTTCCAGATCGAGGGCTAACAGGCTAACGGGCTAGTTGGTTCGCTAGCTTTCGCAAGGTTTATTGAGCAAACATTGGCTGAACTTGCGATTGCGGAACATCGTATTGCCAAAATCGATCGCTTTACCTGCAACAACACGAAAAGGGAACAAGTAACTAAAAAGCATGGTTAGACATCGTAATTCTCTTGGTTTTTCTCATTAAGCCTTTTTTATCTTTGTACATGCACCAAATAATTAATATTTAATATTATTTTGGAATAAGTGTTGCGTATATGCGACAAATTGCATTGGAAAGTTAAGCGTAGGAAGTCGGTTACCGTTAGTTTAGGATGATCTAAGGAAGCGCACGAACTCTTGTTTGCTAACTTACCTCATAACATCGATGTTATCAGGTAATTCTCGCGATCGATTGATTACTCGCATCCCTTAATAAAGTTCCGAACCTGTGTACCTTTAATAGAATTAAATTGTAACATTGGCGCAAATACGAAAGTTATAATATTTCCGTTGTAATCAACTCAAAATTGCAATATTTTAGCGAGAAAGTTATTGAAATGAAAAAAAAATATTTATAAGTTTGTTTTTAAAATTTGCTCCAAGCGATTTATAATTCGTGACAGAATTTGAGATAAAAGCCTATTTACAATTTCATGTGTCACAGCATAGAAAACATTTGAAAAATATCAAAACGTACGCATATGTCCATCGACCTTTTAAATTTCCTAATATAAAATTATAAATATTATAGATTCTATTTCGAATTCTATCGCCAATTCTAGACTATTTAAAACGAGATTTACGCAGTATATATAGAGAATTATATACAGAATTTTATTTCTAAATTTCTCGAAATGTCTGAACTAATAAAGTATTCTTTTGTTACTATATGATGAGTTTGTTGCCGTTTTGGTATTATTTTTTTTTTTATTTTCGTCGTTTGATGGCTCGAAAATATTAACGTAAAAAACTCGTGAATATGGAGCGAAAAAGCTTGATGTGTTTACAGCGTGTTAGGTGGTCCAGTCCGTTTGATCGACGTAGCGATCATCTCGATTGCACGTATTCGTTGATAGCTACGGTAAAACAAGGAAATTCTATCCGCTCTCCGCGTTTCGTTCATTTCGCTTACCGATGGCGTGATAGTATAGCTGATCGTTCGTAGCCCACGCTTGTGGTTGCGCGTTCCACGTGTCGTAATTTGCTCAATCGCTCGATCTCTTTTCGTTCCAGCCGATCTTCCTCTGCCGATCGTCCCGGGATCGTGCTATCGAATGGGCGGGTAAGAACATTAGTTACCGGTAACAAGCGCGCGGAACAAGTACGTTACAACGTACCTGGAGCATGTTCTACACAACCATAAAGTACGCGTCACACCATACTATTTGTGCGAGACCCACAGCCTGGACGAGGATTTGTTTATCAGTCCGCAAACAAGGATACCGAATATCGGGAATAGATCGTATCGACCATGATCGATTTCGAATACGCGGTCTATGCCTGTTATGATTCTCGTCGATATATAAAGTTCGCGACTTTCCAGAATTCGTTAATAGTTAAAAGATTAAAGATATATTGTAAAGTTAACAAAAATTGCAAATTTTTGATATTAATTGAAAATCTTGTTTAATATATGTATATGATCTCAAACTTACAAGAACAATGAATAATTAAAGATAATATTTTGTTTGAAAAATAATCATTTTATTTAGCGAAACAGATTGAACCAAAAAGCTAAAGATATTATCCTTATTTGCTGACGCGTCTATCTCGTTTTTCAGGGATGCGACTGTATTTGTTTTTGTTTTTTCGGTTACCGAATCTCTCCCGCGGTAGTCTCTCCGACTCCGGCGTTGTCCCGCTGATTCGTACTCAGTTTGTCTAGTTCAAACAACGGCGGAACAGTTAGATACAGGAGAGGACTTTTATTCTCGGTACCACGGGCGTGCGGCAACTCGTTACCGGCGCCGGCACCTGGTTCGGATGGTGATATAATTCCGAACTCGCGAAATAAAACAACCGAGGGTCTTCGGTTACCGAATAGGAAAACTGAAAATTGCTCGTTCTTTCTTATTGTTAGTTTCTAAAGGCGAGGCGAGGGATCGTAAGGGCATAGAAAAGTCGTCTTCATCCTTTGGCGACGGAGAGGCGGATCGAAAAAGAGAGCGAACGCTCTACGTGGAAGGTGACAGCCGATGAAAGAGCTGCCATCGCGTCAGGAGAAACTCCGAACTTGTCGATAGATTCGTTAGAGCAAACCGGGATTCTCTCTCTCTCTCTTCTCCTCACGTACTCTCTCTCTCTCTCTCTCTCTCTCTCTCTCTCTCTCCTCTCTTTCCTTTCCTCCACTAGAACCGACGCGCCTGACTACTGACGCGCAACCCGGGTGTTTTCCACCCCGAACTTCCGGCCAAATTGAATCACGTGGAATTTCGCGGTAACAATCTTCTGTTTGACTTCGAGCGACCGGTTGATTTACTTTCTGCTCGGGTCCTCGTCGGGTCTGGGCGATCTCGCGTTCCTCTCATTGAACGGGTTTCGGGCTTCTTCAGCATAACTTGATCACTCAATGTTCTTGAGAAGATCGCGACGCAGCGGCTGTACCAATGCTGACGGATAACTTCGTGCTAGTAAATTTTCGTTAACACTTTATTGACACGATTTCACGGAAAAGTAATCGAGTTTGCTGCGCTCGATAGATGTACAATGTGAGACATTTATATATTTAATAAAAGGCGCAAATATTATTAGAATTTATTAGAATGTATCATTAATGTGATACATTAATTAGTACGATGTTTGTGTTTATGATATATTAATTATAAATACGTTAATTAATATAATGTTTATGACGTAAGAACGCGAATAAACGCTATTATATTTTTCTTATTAAATGGATTTATTTCGGATTAGATGCTAATTTACCTTTTGCAAAACAAAATATCATAGATTAACAAGAAAACAATGTAATTTATGCAATGAATTTATGATGTTATAAATAATAATGTGGGAATGTATTATTCATAACTTACGACGCATATTTTTGGATTAAGCCGGCGTTGGTTTTAGCTTAGCGTTTCTCTCGAGACATCCGGGTTTTTGTGAAGCTGTCCTCTGTTTGAAGTGTACGCATGGATTTTTCAAACTTGTCCTAATTTTATATTTACACAGGCTGCGATTAAAAATTTACATATACCTCGCTTAAATTGCCTTTTCTGAAATTTCAATTTCGCGTAGTACGCCTGAGGTTTCCATATTGCAGCTTATTGGAAGAGACGCAATTTCTTGGCATGTACCTTACACATATATGGCATTGATTTCTTTGTCACTGAGTACTCTGTGTATTCGAGAACGAAGGCAGAAAATAGGAAGTTGGTTTCAAGTTTGGGGGGAATCGTTTGATTTTGCAGGAACGTTTGACGTTCAAGCAAGTTGATGCTTAATGATGCTCGACGGTCTCGCTCTGTGCGTCGTTAATTACCACATGCCCGTTGATTGATCACCGTTTTATATGCCCGTGTTTTTGTATACATAATGTTCTAGCGTCGACGAGTAATTTAGTTAATAGATACTGTGATGCATTTTAATTATTTATTTGCTTCGCAAACACTTCCGTAAATATAAAAATTGTAAATTAAACAAAGATTCTTATTTTTTTGTGCTTGTAGGTAAACGAAAGTGCTGCTGCGTACCAGCTTTTGGGAGAGAGATGAGTTGAGGATCGATTACGATGTTGAGTCGTCTTTTGGCCGTGGTGGCCTCCATTTTGGTTCACCAGATACATTTTCTGTGCACTGCCAGCTCTTTGGGTAAGTTACGTGAAGACTTTGACAATATTCATATAATGAGTATTATAATAGGAAAAAGAAATCTTTTATGTATAATAATTATATTATAATCTTTATCGAAAACTAAAAGTAAGCTCTCTGCTATAATATGTTTAATCAGTATAAAGTAATTAAAAATTACTTGAATTAAAAAGCTGAAAAAAAGAAAGTTTAAAAAATAAATGGAATGTATATGTACGCTATTTTTATACTATATGTTTTTTCGACTTATTTGGAGAAAAATTAGTTTTTGTCGTTAGTGAAAAATAACAAGCGTACTTTGTCAGAAAGGGGGAAAATCTGATTATACTCGCTGAATAACGAGCAGTGGACCGAATGTTCGGTATCCAGACATTGTCCTATAATTTTCCAATTAAGGCATTGGATTCTCATAAATCCATGAGCATGGACGGCCACCATAAATTTGACGTCGCACCGAGCGACAAACCGCGGTCGATCCGACGTACTTTTAGATTCGCGCAACCGGGCTCTTACAACCGGTTGGCAGAAATTGCAGAGAAAGAAGAACGATGAAAATCGCACAATTGCTCACGATACTTCTGAGCTCGACGAAAGTCTGTTTTCCTTTGACAGAAATAATATAGGGCACTTCCGGAGTATTGGATCTGAGCGCAAGTACTCTCTTTTTTTTCTCTCTCTTTCTCTCTCTTTCTCTTTTTTTCACTGTCTTTGCAATGCCAAAATATATTACGGTAAGACGACTCGAGAGAATTCATCGGTAGCGAGAATGCTTGTCCTGATTTTTAATGTACATACGGAAATACCTGTACAAGCTAACTTTTATTGCTAACATTCCCAATTTTCCGTTAAACGAATCTGTTCTTAGATATTTAATTATAGTTAGCTGTAACTTTACTTCAACTGTAATTCGATTGTTTCAACACACTCGCTTCGTTCATTATTCTTCCAAGATTCATGTGAATTTTCATGCGACTCACTAAATCATTCATCGATTCTTTTTTTCGCATATACACACAATTTTTTCGGCTCTGCGAGACGTAATCCGTGCCCTCGTGTGCGGACGTATATATCTATCTAAAGCGTATTTCACAATCCTGAGCAGTAACCCGGACTTATCCTTACCGTGGAGATTATGTGCTTCGTCTTTCCAGCGGATATTAGAAGTCTGTTCATCCTCTTTCCTTTTCCGGGGTGTCTGTCTATAGCGAGAGAATTCAACTTGTTAGATTGGTGTAATGGGAGTAGAGGAGGGGGGAGGGGGAGGGTCCTCTGCAGTTGCTAGAGCTGATACATCTCTCGAGGATTATCCCATCCTTCTACGGAGAAATAGTTTAGGTCGGGACCTTGGAATTGGAGATAGAGAAACAGAAAGAGGAGAGGGAGGGAGGGAAGGAAAGAGAGGCAATTCGTCAAGGCGAGGTGAAAGGGAATACAGGCTGCTGGCGCACGCGTGGCCGATCAGCTGAGAAAATAATTTCACGGTGCATCTTTCACGTAGTCGGGATTTCTCGGGATCCCCGTAGAAATGAGAAAGATCCTCGACAGTCGTACCTCTGACGTCGAACCGAAGCTCCAAACGAAGCAACGATTGCGGGAAACGAGAGAGGACCGTTTGAATCGTCGAATTTGATGGAGAGAGATATTTCCAACCGCCGATCTTCTTCCGGAGATTCTATCGCGGTCTTCTTTATTTTTCTAGCCGCTTGTGTCTCCTTCAGCGCGTCGCGGCGGGGGCTTTATATAAGAGACGAGATTGCACGGTTTCCCGGTATCGTCTCGAAAAACGACGATGTCGCTGGGAGAGAAAACTGGCTTTATTACCTCTTTCTGTTCGACCCTATGCGCGCGTACCGTGCCAAGCTATGTAAAGCTGTGCTTATAAGACGTCTGGTGCGTTCAACCCGCGCGCGAGAATAGAGGAGATGATGCGGCTGCGGAAATTCTGGCCAATAGCGTTCAAATATAGCGCGTAGCGATATTACCACATTTAATCCTTGATCGCGGCGCAGCGCCGTATCGTTCATCGTAATTAAGTCTTAATTAACGATAAATATAGATAAACTTTACGATACGATAAATTTTGATTTTCGGCTATTCGGCTTTTTTCATACTTTGCAAACGAGCTGTTTTATCTTGCATGCATCGCGCTGCACGAGTTTTTTATCATTCCCTATTGCGGATAATCCGTTTAGATAGCTGCAGACATAATACGCGCATTGTTTGCAAAACATTTCGTAACGGGACGTTTACTTTTGCTGCGCGCGTTCATCTCGAATTTCCGCGGAATTATTTATTCACTGCGATGTAATAAAAACAAGCAACGCAATGGTTATGCGTATGCATTCTCATGCGTCGAAACTATTCCGCGCTTTTGCGTTTAAATAGTAAGATAAATGCGTCATTGCGAATACGTTAGATTCGAGCGAATACGGAAAATATTTATTTTCTCGCGTATTATAAATAAAATGTTTTAATGAAAATATGTTTACGTGAAAATAAGTCTCTTTTTGTAAATAAATCTTTTTCAAAACAAATTTTCTTTAACAATTTTATTCTTTTTATAGCTAAATTTTATAAATAAATACGGGTGTTATATAAATTCTACAAATAAGTATCTTTGTTAAAGTTTATTAGTTTTTTATTGCATCTGTGACGTATTGAGCAATCCGCCATTGGTTACGCAACTTCACGAAGAGAATATATCTGCACGTACCTATCTCAGGAAGTTACATAGCCGCGTGTGCTTCTTGCTGATAAGGCCATTCAACGTGTCGGCAAGTAAAGAGATTCGCTCCGTAGCGTTGCATCGGAGTGGAAAGTGAAATCCTTTTCGATGTCATATACACATCTCTCGTGTTACCTTTTTTATCATAAATTTAATCGTTTGATAAATTTTAGTGGATTTCAAATGATGTTCTAAATTTTTATTCGTTTTGACGTATTAGTGACCTCGATGATCTTGTATCTTTGTTTTAAATATGAGCATTTAGCAACATTTAATTATACATTTAATCGTAGAATCTTGAGATGAAATAGATAGTAATAGTTTTGAAATTGTTTACTTATAATTTATGTTATACAAATTATAAAATACATTTTTTATTTAAAAAAAGATACTTAAATTTTTTTAAACTTTGTTGCAGGTGTAAAACAGTTTCCAGGATTTGAAAATCTGCCGCGCTCATTTTGGCATGAACTCAGTTCACCTTTTACAGAGGTTAGTTCATAGATTGCCAGATTTTCTCGGAGTTACTCTCTTAAGTTAGCTGAACATATAATATTTAAGCCGAAGAAAATCCCATTTTGTTCTTCCAACATTGTACATATAAGTCGCTTATTTCCAACGGAATGTAAGTCTATTTTCGGATATTAAAAATTTCAACGAGAGGCGGATTTAACGCAATATATCCGATTTTTTTAAACAAGATTTTCGTGATTATACTTTTAAGATAAACTACTGAGATATGCAGTAATATATTAGTAAAATATTTTTTAATTTAATGTCAACATTAATTATATTGTTTGAACACAATTCTCGCCGCGAAACGAATATTTATCAATGTAAATATTGTTAGCGTGTCACCAACATTTGCAATTCGAATTGCTTTCACGTTGGCCGTTTGAGCGCTTTGTATTCACCGTTTACTGCATTTTGAATGAAATGTTATATATATTTAGAATTAACAGTAGTGGTGACTAGTTTGTGCTGCTTCAAAAACAGTCATTACAGTGGTTACTTCTTACAAGCGCATTACATAATAGGAAGTGCAAATGCATTTCAGTTTTTATTGTTTATAAGATGTTTTACGTTACACAGGTTTATGAGGTGGAGAATTTCGTGACTGAAACAAGTGGCACTCCAGAGCCGAGGCCATTTTTCGAGGATCCTGAAAGTAACATTACCGTACAACTTGGTGCCGAAGTTTACATACACTGCAGAATACAGAATGTACAGAACACCTTACTTAAGGTAAGCTATACATTTTTCATCTTTGCAAATATTGATGCAAAACATAATATGTGAATTTACCAATATACTCGATGCTTTATGCGATTATAAGCGGCTTATAAATCTATCTAAATAATATTTAAAAATAATAATTAAAAATATTTAAAAACCTTTTATTACACAAGTTTTTACGATTATAATGGTTGGAAGAATAGGGAATACTGTTTTGCAATTAAAACATTTAAAAACATGACTCTGATATGGAGTACGAGCGAAAATAAACATACATATACGAATAAACATAATAACATTCTCAACATATGGGATATTACGTTATCTTCTAAAAGCCAAGCACTCCACACTGTTTTATGAAGAGACCTTGTTGGTTTTCCTGTTCCCTTTCTCATGTGCTACTATGTGGCACTTAGCTCATCCTAATTCTCCCAAAGGAAATTCCGCGGATAACGGTGGGATATTTTCCTCCTAATTTTGCGGCTGCTTTATCACTATGATGCATATGACAGTTATGACACGCGGCCGTTCACCGCTTTTGTGCAAGCAGATCACGCGTTTATTCAAATAAAATAAAAAATGGTTTATTTTTATTGAACGAATAAAATACAAAAATGTATAATATATAATTTATTCATATATTTTGTAATTATATCTAAAATAATTTTAAATTTTTAACATAAACGTGTAAAGTTGGAATGTTAATTCAAATGTTATAAATTATTATATTATATTATTTTCAATTAAAAATATTAATGTAATTTGGTAAAGAGTTTGGCTCTTGTTATAATACAATATTGTTTGGTGTGGCAATAATTTATATAAACCACAATATTATTAGAATGGGTTCAGTATTTTCATTGTGACGTTCTCTGCAAATAGTTTTCAAGTTTTCGATTGAAACCCCTGCTGCAGTAAAGTGTTTACTAATTCCAAGAGGTAAATACACTTTGAACGTAACGTTTCTTCGCACAGCACTATTTCTGATCGGTATATATCTATCGAGCTTTAAAGATAGTTCCTGATGCACAGACGTAACGAGAGCATTTAGCAGAAACTGATAGTTGTGAGCCTTTGAAACAATTTCTAACTAGATATTGCTGAGACTAGTAGTTGAAACGAGTAGCAGTTTGTTGTCAGTAAGAATCGATATCGACGCTACGTAAATAATTTTGTTCTGATTTTGCAATAAAAAAATTTATTTGTAATAGTGTTGTCGATTTAATTAACTCTTTGAGTTCTGGCTTTAAATTGCATTGTTGGAGAAATTATTTTTGTAGTATACATTATTTATTATTGTAATTATTATATTATATTTATTATTATAAATTTGTTTTTATAAAGATTATTTTTTATAATGAAACAACTACAGAGCTTAATTTCCACAAAAAAATAATCAAATAAAAAAGGTAGATAAATATTTCATAAATAAACAACCATAAGATTTAATTTTATTTGAAGTATATTTTATAATACACCGATACGTTTTAAAGTTAAAATTTCTCGTGCTATTTTTTTATTACTGTTATTATTAACAGCTTATCTGCGTGTTTTCCTCATATATTTTCGCTCTTTTTTATAATTAAATAATTTGATATTTTACATAAAATCTACATTCAGATGATGAAAATATTTATTGCGCATTTATCCATCTCGGCAAATTGCAAACTTGTATTTATAAGAAGTATACGTTTGTCGATATCGGTCGTCATAAAAAACGAACGGCGTAAGTACGCCGTTTTATTTACGATGTATCACGATCTCTATAAATCGTTGCTGAACTTAGCAATCTCTCGAGCAAAGCTCGGATCGCCCAGGAAGCATTCACAAACAGTATACCGTAACATTTTGCTCCTTGGTTTGTGAGTGCTTGGAATTCAATCTTTCTAAGTGGGAGTGCGGTGAACTGAGTGAAACAAGTTGTTTCATATGGTAGGATGGGGGAATCGCATATGCATTTCTCTGTATTACTGCATTTTTGAATTCGATTTAAGAATTGATTTTTTTCAACTTCAACGCGCGGACAGTTAAAATAAATTGTCGGCGATCTTACGCCTTTGCTATTATAGAATTGTATACGTGAAATCACATTATACCGCACATAAACAAACATATTAGGTTGGATTTTTTGTAGGCGTTTATTTTATTTATGCCAATAGGTGAATTTAATATATTCTTGATCAAAATGTCAAATATTCTCGAGAACGAGCCAACGTGCCTTAGAAGGAATTTATGTCATGACCGATATTTTTGGTATCTCCGTCATAGTAAATTTTCCATACTAACAATTATTTATGATATTTATCAGACATTCTGAATTTCTATATTCAATATTATTATTATTTTAATAATATAAATTATTTTTAGATAAACGTCACGTAAATAACGAGTTTGCAAACATTTTATATTAATAATTTATTAATGGACATATATACGGCAGATCGGTACATTTTCCGCATGATAAGAGAGGTAGAAAACTGTTTGTTTTATTCCGACGAAAGATGCTGAGAAAAGCTATGAAGCAGCAGCAACTTCATTAACAGTAACAAAGACTTGTTTCTTGTCTCACGATCAATAATGTTAATAAGACGGCCGCTTTAACTGCTCTCTAATGCAGGACCAGTGAGTTTGCTGTTCCAGCTGTTTATTCTCAGTAGCCCGGTGTTGGCCCCGAGTACGAAGAATGATTGACTTAAACTACTTAAACGCAGTCCATGCCTCTAAGCTCCCATCTCCTTCGCCATTGAAGTAATCGATTTATGTAAAACATCTCAGTACATATTTTGCCGATGAATACTGAATAATTATATTTTAAAAATATCACCGCTATGTATTTTACTATCGTTTTAAAGTCTCGAATTTGCGCGTACGGCAAAAAAAAATTCCATTTAAATTCGTCAATGGATTCGTAAATTAAAAATATCTCTGGGAATTGTTTTATATTTCGTAATTTTCGTTACTCGTTACAGTGTGATGACTATGTATTACGCGTTAATGGGACTTGGAATTCGATTATTAGGTGCGACTCGTGAATGAGAGAAACGAGAAGTTAATACATAACCCGAAGTTATTGGCGCGATGCAAATAGCTGCGGTTCTTATAAGCGGGTCCCCGCACTCCGAATTGTCTCGAAGTCGTTCCTGAACTTCTTCCCGTTTTCGCGACTTTCTGCGCACATCGGCCGAACTTTTAACAGCGTCTTCGTCTCGCGCTTGCACTCAAGTTTATACCTGTGTAATTAGCTCGACGGGGAGGTCGCTACTGCATTAATTATAAACGCGCCAAAACTCTCTCTCTCTCTCTCTCTCTCTCTCTCTCTCTCTCTCTACGGTGATACGACGTTATACAAATTAACGTCTTACGTTCGTATCGCTTAAAACAAGTTGGTGTAGTTGTAAGGAGACATCGAACTTGTATGTATGCAACGGATGCTTTTACTTATAATAGTGCAGCCATATATACACGCTATTATGCAAATAATGCGCGTATATTAAGCTCTCTGAATCTATTCGTTAGACGAATCTAAGCAAGTGTATTTTATGTGTTAACATAATTCTATGACTATATATTTTTTATATTTTTTATAATAGTTATATAAAGGCAGAATTTTCGATTTTTTACAGCGCGAAATATTTAACATATCGAATATTTTAGTAGGAGAAAATATTATTTATAGAATAATGTAAATTTTTATAAACTGTAAATAATGATTTATTAAAATTATTGAAATTGAATGCTGCAATAATTCTAATCAATTAATTTTTGACGATCAGAAGTTAACTCTCGAGTTTTGTGTTTAGAGTTTTTCTTTTTTTTCTCGTGTGGCATTTGATAGAAATTGCACAGGATTGATATGTAGATGAGTGCTTCTCGATTGCTCGACTGCACTGATTCGTTGGGCGCATCAATCCCAAAGGGAGTCGCAGAGATCGTCTTTCCAGTTATACAATATTGTGGTGCATAGTGGTATCACTTTCTTGACTTTAAATGAGAAAGGAAACCTAGGAAATCCCAGGCTCTCTAAGGAGAAATACCTTCCGAATATAATGTCAAGTAAACAAATTAAAACAAAAATATAAAAAAAAACAAAATTTTAATGTATATTTTATCAACACGTAATTATATGTTAAATTATTCACATAATTAACGCTGGACCTTGATAAACTTATTATTGGAAACATAGTATTTTACGTGTAAAACAATAGCGCTGAAAACTAAAACCGATGGAAACGAGATTGTACTTACGAGCAAATTACATTTTACGCTTTTTGTATTCGATTCACCCGAGTTAATTAAAATCAACATATATAAATGTGTAGCAATAATTAACGTACAAAATGGAGTCTTATATTTTTGATGTATACACTTGTTCCGATTAAATTACGTAATCAAATGTTACCATGGCGTTGTTTACCAACTTTTTATTATTAACATTTTTTACTGTACGTATCCCAGATATTTAAATTGTTCAATTGCTCACATTCCGATGTTCAAACGCTCACTTGCCTACACTCATATCGCGTTATCACTGCGTTTTCTTCGTTTAAATCGTGTAACATCATCGATGTAACTCCATTTGCAGCGAGAATTGAATTATTAAGCGTTATGAGATTGCCAACCGCAATCTATCGCTTACATCCGTGCGATGTACATCCTGAGCTATATTTCCTAGTGTGTATGTATGTATCTGCAGCTGCATGTGCCGACACGCACGTGGTTAAGAGACGGTGTGTGCTTTCGCACTATGAATGCCACAGCTGCGCACATGTACGAGACTGTTATGGTCCATTGTTACGTAAAGTATAACTTTACAAGCACCTGGTGGAAGTTTTTAACTGTTTGATTATTACAGAAAGTCTGCTAGATTTCGTCTAAAAAATGTCAGTGCTATCGTAATCAGTTATAATCTGATTATTTGAATTCGAATATGTGGTTATTTATGAGTTGCATTTATCTTTTAATACAGAAATATAGAACTAAATAATAATGCAATATATTTGAAAAAGAAACGAAAAGAAGAAAGCGTGAATCATGCTTATTGGTAGTTTTATAAATTGCAATTATTTTATAAAAGTGTTGCCAGCGTTCATTAGCAATTTTCGAGTACGAAAGGGAGGGCGGTATATCGCTCCTTGGTAGCTAAGAAATATGGTGGTTATATATATGTATATATATATATGGTAATTCAAAATCCAAGATTACTATCTTGAGAGGTGATTAGTCATCAAGGAAGAAGCGAAAAAGCTTATATAAGTATATGTTCTGAGATCTACCGTTACTTTGAGCGAGTTAAGGAGATTTAAAATCAAGTAATCGAAATTATTAATTTTTTTAATTGCCTTATTTTTAGTGATTTGATAATTATGATTGATTGGTGACTTTAGCATGAGTAAAAAATAACTTGGATGACACGTAACTCACAAGTCTTACCAATTGAGGGAATTTTATTATGAAATTAACTATGAATTCTACTGTGCAGTTGAAGAAAATTACTTTGCGAGATAAAAATTTAAATATATGGTTTTTTGAAAAACATTTTTATTAAAAAAAATACACGCACACATACATACACAATTTTTTAATATTTAATATGTGAAATATTTGTTTACAGTTTGCGAATATGAATCAATTGCATATTTCATATTATTACACCGTGTGTTTCATCTTTCTTCTAATTAACAATTGCGCATGATTGCTTCATCATTCTCCACGTAATGGAAGATCGCAACGAAAATCTTTTTGTCAGTCTACTATCGTGCAATCACTCCAGCAATTATCTGTCGGCCGCGCTTCAGCTTTTTCCTATTACTTTTCTTTTTCTTTCCGAGGATCTTTCGCATCGTTTCGCACCTCGCGAAAGAGGATCTAACTTCTTTTCAATTAATTATTTTCCATCATCCGATGCGCGCGCTTGCTTTATCCATTATCTTGTATTTAGCGCGACTCGCGTCGTCGTCGATGAGTCCCAGCAGCTTTCTTCACCCAAGGGCGAAGTTTTGCCACAGCTCGTCAATAAGACGTTCAAGGACTAATTAAAGTTTCGTAAACGTGACTCACCGTTGACGACGCTATCCCGACGGTGGACAATGAAAGTTATTTCCCTTCGTCATTTTCAAGGCGTGAGCGACTTTGCGTGGCTCGTCAGTACGCGACGTAACTTTTCTTTTTATATTTTGCACACACAAAACCGTCGGGTTTCGATTGCGGTTCGTCTGTCGTTGCGTCGATGGGTCGACGGAATCCAATTTTCTTACCTTTGTGCCCGCGGCCTGAATTCCAGTTAGAACTGGCTTTACGGATTTCGACAAGCGTCAGAGATCACGGTTGCCCGAAACGAGATCCCTCCACTGTCGGAGTTGTAACCGCGTAACTCGCGAGAGTTTCGCGGTGATTTAAGAGGTTCCGCAGTTAACCGAAGAGAGTAGTAAATTCCGAAACTTTTGGTATTTCCGATTCTATTTAGTATTATCAGGGTCGCGAACTCTTTCGAAAGTATCATGTTGCATTGAAAACACTGAATCGTGAAATTCGTTATTTGAAAATTTTTAGACTTTCCGAAAATTCGAGTTCTGAATGAACTTTTTTCAAATACTTTTACAACAGCAAATTATTGCGGTGTCGCGAAATGGCTAGTAGGTTAAAATATATGGAATATTTCGAAATGTCACATAAATATAAAATAGATATTGGCCATAAAGAACACAATGCATAATACAATATTTTCAAAACAATTTACATTAAATAATCATATTTCGCGTTTGCTAAATGGAGTTTGTGTTTTTGCAAACATATTGGATGGTTTAGTGCTATTAACTTCAATAGGAATTTACTAACACATTTCCAATCTACACTCTTGAACATACTTCCATATGTAAAATTGCGAACACACATAGATTTTGCAGCGGTTGATAGAATATAAAAGCGGAAGTCGCCCGTGTGTATGGCATATCCGCGATAAATGTTTGCCCAAATAGAGTAAATAAACAAGCAGTATATTGCCACACGTATTGATCAGCATCCGAAACATTGAATGCATAAATCGTTAATTTGGCGAATGTCCGCGTATACCCGTGCGCGAACGAGTACATCCGTAAATGCTTTGCGAATAATCCATCAACCATCTATATGTTACTAAATATAGAGTAATATTATGATGCCTCTGTGAAATGCTGATAATTTATTAATGAACTACCAAAAGCATTAAAAAAAAATCAATGTTAATATTTATTGCATATGTATAATGTATTTGAAAATATAATTTGATTTAGTATACATAAGAATTTGTGTAAATTCAGTGCAAAGTGTTTAGCAAATTAGACGAAATGGTCAGAATTATAATACACTGTAAATGTTAATAATTTAATTAATGTTAATAATTTAATAATTAACAAATGTCAATTATAATTTGATATAAATGCTAATAATTTATTTAATTAATTAAATTAATAAACTACCAAGAAGACTAAAAAATTTAAAACTATTATTTATATGTAATGTGTGTTTCAAAATTAATAATTTAATTCCACGGTAGATAAATACTCGTGTAAAGTTAGTACAGAGTGTTTCGCAAATTAAACAAAATTTATTTTAAATACATATAATTTTAATAGGCTTTTTACCTCGCAATTTATCCTAAAGCGAGTGATTCAATGACACAATTATAGCTAGCGAATAATTTGGTTTGGCGATGAGAATTTGGATGATTGACCTGGCCGCGCCCGCGTACGGTTCCCGAAATAATACGGCTGTGTGCAGCTGTCGTAACGCGGACGAGACCCGCGTGCTGCTTTGACGTTTGGTTTGCGGCTCAATTTGCATGTGATAAATGCACGAGCGCGCGCACCTCGGACCTGTCCCGCTTTTACGGATGACGTACGAGAGGGAACGCGGTCTTCTGCACGCACGAATGCAAAATCGAAACTTTGGTAACATTTTACCTCTTTGCGGAGACTCCGTTCGATGACCAGCGGCGGTGTCGGCCGTTCGCGGCGTAACTTTGCCACATATTTTACGCCGGTGAACACGCTTATTAGTTGACACGTAAATATGCTAATTATGAAAGCGAGCGAGCAATACGGTGTGGTGTTCAAATTATATAAATAACTTCGAAAAATTATGCAGAACTTTAATGTTTGGATAACGACACGCAATTCAACGTACCGATTGTAAATGATGCGGAACGACATATGGAAATCAGGTTAAATGTTGCACCATAGATATAAAGTCGCTAAGACGTAATTATTCACTGCTGAGTCCTTTATAATAATGACAAATGACTGCTCCTTCCGTTCGCACTGTTCTCTATTTCTAGGACGCGCTTCCCAGTTGAAACGGCAGCTCCTGCATAACGCGCGCGATGCAACTAACGATTCTTTAACTTCTCCGTTATCAAACTTTCGTACGTCGGATCATAAGTATCGGAATAAATTGTTCCAACATATTATCAGAAGACAACTTTTATGATATTGCATCTAACTTCGATTTGTTGTGATCCGCAGGCAATGTGATTTGCATATAAAAAGATTTTATGCAAAAAACTTGCTCAATGCAGATTTCGGTCAATTTGACTCATCAGTATTATTTGATAAATCCGAGACATATTTTACTATATTATAAATACATGAAATATTAATAGAATAAAATAAACATAAAGAACTTGAAATAAAAATTTTTTATCCACGAAAACAAAAATAAAAACTTTTCATATAAAACTGAAATTATTTACAGTTACAGAGCTGCATGTTTTTGTTGTATTTCTGTTGAAATTAAAAATTATACATTTAATGAATTTTGCATTGGAACTTTTCATATGATATCTTGAAAATTCATGCATAATATTAATTCTCATATTTTGTAATTTTAATTAAAATTTTTAAAGGGTGGGATTATATCAGTAATCTACTACGTCTGCATTTCAGCATCCTATTACAGACAAATTAGGATGAGCTTGAAATTGCATTTTTGCAAAGGCGGGGCTTTTTGCAGAGACTGATATATTGATTTCCGTTTCATCTCAGCGTGACACCGAAAGGAATTAATGCCAGGAACACTTCGCGAGTTTATCGCCGGGGCTAAGTTTATCGAAGCTGTCAGAACTTTTTTTTTGTGCGCGCAAAGCTTCTATTCGTGCTTAAGCGAATGGGGACGATACAATCGATTTTAAAGTGCGGACATATATTTGCGTCAGATAACAGCCGTTAACGGTATAACTTAGCGTGATTTACGGGTAATACGGCCGTATTTTTATGGCACACTGTTCCATTAGCTTCGATGCGCGTGATTTATGCAAAGTGTTCTTGGCGCTTCCGCGAAAGGAACAAGACTACTCTTGCACGTCCACTCACGAAAGTCGACCGCGTATAAATGTGACCTGTCCGCACACTCGCTTGCGTATAGTCTAAGAATGAATAGCGACTTTTCGGGGTTCGGAGCTAATAATTTTCGGAGCTCACTAGCATGTGGTCAAAGGGAAGAAAGTGTCGATAAAAGAAATCTATATATTCTTTTTTTTCACAATTTTAACTAATAGTTTGTTGTTTATCAGCGGAATAATCTTTGCGATTATTATTGATGATTTTGGTTTTTAAGTTTTTAAAATTAAAATTTAAGTGAAATTTTATGCCTAACTTATTAACTTTAACCAAAGTATGAAACTAAAAATGGAATTATTTAAATTTTGTTAAGAAATATATGTGATTTTTTAAACTAATTTCTCAATTAAAAGTAACGACTTTAAAACAATTGACTAATATTTGTGAATAATCTCACGATGAATTCTTTACATTGTTCTTTTTTTCATTACAGGTATCCTGGGTGCGTAGACGGAACGAAGAGCTCCATTTGCTTACCATCGGCCTGGACACGTACGCGAGCGACTCCAGATTCTCCCTAGCCTTTAAGAAGCCTAACGACTGGCGATTGCTTCTGCGCTCGGCCACGGAACGAGATGCCGGCCTTTACGAGTGTCAAGTCAACGTCCATCCGCCATTAATCAGAACTGTCCATCTAGCGGTGTCAGGTAAGTGAGCGCGTCATTGCGTGTGTGTTCATCTGACCGTTCGCGGGACTTGGCAACCACGAGGCAATCAAGAGCCGGTATTTCCGGCTACTACTATCAACGAATATGCACTTTGATCTGACGACCGCAATGCGGCTCGTAAATCAACGCGTTTGTATAGGGTGTCCTGAGAGAGGAGCCGGACGTGATTTCATCGTTATTGGAAACCGCGAGTATTAAAGATCAAACTAAGACGGGCGCTTCGCGTAGATTTTGCTTTAATTAGAAAGTTACTCAAAGTTGAATGTTAAACAATTCTGGCTGAAGAGTAATCAATTCCGAATTAATTAGACAGTCCGCGAATAAAGGCATGTCGACAGACTTGAGGGTACCCTGCATAGTCAATTAAAAACACCTCCTGTTTTTGTCGTAATCACCACCGGCGCATACCGTGCTGCTTGTTTCGCAATATATCGCGAAGCTCACGGTCGTTCGCGTATTAACGCGAATGAGGCTAATTTTGCTGCTGGCAAAGATGACAAAGGCCAAGTGCATTATTCTCTTAATCTACTCTTGTAAAGTGCTTTCGGAAAGTTACTCTCCGTAGACATATAATCCATGTGTCCCGCGTGGCACGTTTTCGTTGGACCATAAATCACAGTCGCCACGTCGTTAGGGTCGTCCTCTTCGCGGCATAATGGCGATCTCGATGCTGTAACGATGTTCTCGTGGCGCTCACGTCCCACGCCACTTAATTGGAGTCCCGTCTCTTGCTCGTGTTCCTCCTCTTTCTCTTTTTATTCATATACCTACCTCTGTTCCTCTTCTATTACTGACAAACGTATGTCGGTCTCAGATATTGATGAGTTGTGCGGTCTCATGCGAATGTTCTTGCTTAAAAATAAGCGAAAAAAGAACTGGAATAGAAAATGTAGACATTAAACTATAATTGAGCTGTGATAATGCTGTCTTTCTACAGTCGCGGTGCAGAGAGATATTCAGTCTCGATGATTGAGTATAATACGCATTCTAGTGTACTGCTAAACTCATTAGCATTTATCATTGATGCACAACTGGATGTGTTACCGGATAATTCGCGACTGACTCAGCCGACTACCTGTGATTGATTGATAGCGAGCAATATTGTAGTTGTCAGTCGTATTTGATTAATAACAGACGTAAGACTGATGGACACTTTGAAGATCGGATTCGGGCCTCCATCCAGAACGTCCGATGATGCCTCCGTAGACTAACGATTTTAGCTCCATCGTGCGAGTAGTTGAGCAAATAGTTCCGTTGAGATTAATGAGACTAGCGCGCGTTGAAAAGAGAACTTGCAGTTTCAGAATTTATATATTTGAAAGCGCAATTATAATTATGCGCATAGAATAACTGTGAATTAATCACGGTGCCACGAGCATGAGCGACGTACTTCGCGAAGCATAAATTTACGATGACGAGCGTTTCAAAAGTGTCGGTAGAAAGTCTCGTTTCAGAGACTGCAATATTCTTCTCTTCAAGTGATAGTTAAATCTTGCATCGTTATTAGACGTAATTTTTTAACTTGTTCTTTTTGCATTTTTTTTTTGGAAGTCGACAAAAATCAATTATATTACAATCTGCCTGTACGATATTAATTGCTGACCTATGCAAAAATATTTGGATAAATGTGTTATGTCATCTGGAAAAGTTTTATCAATCTAATATTTATGAATCACACCTTTCTATACACGTTCAAAAGTTTTCTTTTCACAGAATATCGATAAAATCTTGTTGAAAGATCGATATTCGACAAATGCAGATATTTATGTTTGTTAGAATGTATTATATTCTAAAGAAGTGTAACAATAAGAAAGCTAGGAAGACATAACGAAAGGTGGAGAAATTGCGAGAACGATGGGAGAAAAAAGAACAAAAGAGCGGAATAGCGCGATAGATGAAATCAATAAGTACGCAGATATCGAAATATTTTTCAGTAGCTGCAATAGAGGGTTATGAAATATCTGACCGAAATACCAGGTACCGGAATAAATTCTGCTCTGTGCGCGAAATAAACGGAATATTTCGCGGATCCAAATGGCGGAACGAACGTGCGCTATATTATTCTTCGACATATCGCTCGGCTTTCGTTTTAACTTATAAAGTCTGCTCGAGCGTATCATTTTTCCATCATTTTCAGTTGAATATCGATACGGCTAGTAGAGATTTTTCTTGCACATTAAGAATCTCGAGAAATAAGATGTAGGATTTAGTAGAACAGACCGAGTCCTTCTGTCGCACGTTGCACCAATACAGGTTCCTAGTACAAGTTTCCTATGTGTATACAGCACTTTTCGTATTTTCTCATGATTTTTTAATTATGAATAATAAGATGGTATCTCGGTTATTTGAAAGAAAAGAGTGGACTATATCCGAGAAAAAATAGTATAATATGGTCAGATATAAATATATATAATTAGTTATGAAAAGATCTGATAACATGTAATATTTTATACGATCATATAAAATTACACATGTTATGAAATCTTTTCATAACTAATTATATATATTTATATCTGACCAATTATACCATTTTTTTCTCAGGCATTTATCGAATACTTTTACGACTTATTCTTTGACGTTAACGTGATTAATGATGTATGTATGTCGACATGAAGAGTGCGAGACACTCTGAATTTAAGCTTACAACAATATTACTCTTGAATGTATTTACAAAAATCAGTAACTTTTGCTTATTTTCGACGGAAAGACGTGTGAAATGATGTTATGAATATTAGCAAAAAAAAATTTAATTGTAAGAGTTGTTATTTTATGAGACTTTTTATGAATATTTTATGAAGCTTATTAATCTCAACATCGCATTTATTTTAGAGTTTAAAATGTATAACTATTTTAATTTATTTTTGACATTGCCATTTGATATATGTTCGTATTACATTCTCTCAAATTGTGGATCAGGGGAATATATCCCGTCTACGGGGCTTTAATTATATTATATAATACAATGTAATTTTAATTGTAAAATGAATATAGATGGTTTGTTAAATGTGAACGGATAAGCTAAAAAAAATTAAATTGTCTCGTTGCAAGAATTCAATACACTTAATCATTATTAATAGCAAATTTTTTTTTGTCACATGAATTAGTTCCAATCTATTGTGTGAAATATTTCTGTATATCTTTATATTATACTTGTGTGACACATTTAGATTCATATCAGTCAATGAAGTTCGCAAACATATTTTTTTCTTCTTGTATATCATTGAGGATTGGCTGCATTAACTATTTTCGCGTTCCAGAAGTCCTTTTATGACGCAATACATACGAAGACTAGTTTTTTTTCATATCTGATAGTATTCCTGGAACTCATCTGTTGGAATCGGTTTTATGATTATCTTCTTCGATATCGTCAAAATATCTCTTTTTCCCTCATAACTTGATCCTTATAAATTTTATGTAACATTTCACGAATTTTGAATTCAATTTTTTTCACTAAAAATTTAAACTTCACTAAAAGTTTCATATTTGTTCTTTGTTCCAATATATCAGCCGCGTCCGCCATCGCTTTCCATCAAAACACAAGAACACGTTTCTGCGGTAATTGCTTCCATAAATTAATCAAAGTTAGCCATATTACTGGTAATAGCTCTTTTAAGGGTTGTCATTTATATTTGATCTTTACTATTCATCTAAAAAATAAACTTGAGAATTTAATTAATTAATAATAAATAGATATTACCGTTGCTATATAAGCGAACAAAACTTTTACAATGTGTTATTTGTTGTAATCTTCGTACGTATTTAATTACAAAATTAAATTTATAAATCATTGTTACACAATTTCTGATGCAATAATATGTGGATAAAATTTCTGGATATATCTTCGTAAAATTAAAGTGTCGATTATTCCATTTCTGCGAGCTAATTATCGTCTACGTGAGGATTCTCTATTACTGCAGCTAAAATACTCTTCGCCATGTTATCATTTATCAAAGGTTGTCATTTTCAGTATTTAAAGCTATTGAAGCGTCTAAAATGGGTTTCTAGCTATTTAAAGATCCCGTAAGATTTTGGTGCTCTATTTGTCACTCATTAGCACATGATCGGCGTAGTTGTAGTTGTAGTTTATACGTTCCCTGGTAGAAAAATTACCATGGTGCTAGGCTGGCGCTAACTTACTTGCCCCACTGCCTGATAAGGAGCTAGTATGGCATGCAGACTAGCGCCAGACACAAAATCATCACATTCTTCCAGTCTAATACCCGACTTAATCGACTAGTGAGGCGTTAGCTAGCTCTAGTGTAATGCTATCTAGCCGTGGTGTGGCGCACGCTAGTTCTGATGTTGTACTATCTAGCCATGATGTGGCGATAGCTAGTTCTCACGCAGTTCTTATTTTACTATACTAGAAGTAGTCTGGAGTAAACTAGCGCCAGGCTACTTCTAGTCAGACATTATTAACATAGTATATTTCTAGCGCCTCGCTAGAAATAGCTTGACGCTCGCGCCACGTCAAAACTAAATTTATTATATTAAATGGGGATACAACATGACAGTCAAGATGGGAGCTAACTAGACATCAGGATCTAGCATGGCACTTTCTACCAGGGTTGATCTTTAAAAAAAAGAAATATTGATAATTGAAATCTCTCAATAACGTTCAAAGTAATTAACATTTGAAAAATAATTATTACGTGCAATAAATTTTTTATTTGTCTCTCAAACAAATATTTAACAAAATAATTACGCAAATATCAAAACAAGTCTTTCTAATTGTCATATAATTATTATATAAATATTGTAAATTGTAAATATATTCAGTTTATTAAAAATTTATTTGCGTCACGTAGATAAATAATTAATATATTCAACAAATAACAAATAATAAATATGTGATAAATTATTCACTTCCAAATTGCTCAACGAATATCTGATAACTGCTTCGACCTTCTTCTTTTAATGCTCCTTCATAGCACTCACTCATTCAAAAATATGATCGCGTGACACTTTGAACGACATTC